TGCCAACATGTACTGTGACATACTGAAGCAGAGCATGATCCCCTCCCTTCGGAGACTGGGCCGCAGGGCAGTATTCCAACATGTTAACGACCCCAAACACACCGCCAAGATGACAACTGCCTCGCTGAGAAAGGTGAAGGTGATGGAGTGGCCAAGTATGTCTCCAGACCTGAACCCTATTGAGCACCTGTGGGGCATCCTCAAGCGGAAGGTGGAGAAGCGCCTTGTGTCTAACATCCAGCAGCTCCGTTATGTTATTATGGAGTAGTGGAAGATGATCCCAGCAACAACCTGTGCAGCTCTGGTGAATTCCATGCCCAGGAGGATTAAGGCAGTGCTAGATAACAATGGTGCTCACACATGGTCAATTTAATGCATCCTTGCTAAATAAAACTATTAATTTCTGTTAACAACAACAACATACTAAACCCTTTTCACTGCATAAAAGAGTATTATGTGATTTTTATTTTTATTTTGCAAATATGGTGTCAACACTGACCTTGAACTCCATGGGTGTGTATTTCTCATTCTTTGGTGTGGTGTTGCCCTTGTAGTTGAGGTGGTTGGGAGTGGTGGGGTGGATGACTGCAGACTCCTGTGAGGCCTTGTGGAACCGCTGACAGTACACATACACCAGGAAGGACAGCAGACCGGCACCCAGGAAGCACGACACGCCTGTAGCTATCAGGTGAAGTAGAGTGAACCCTGGGAAAACAAGAGAAAACAGCATTACGGTAACCATTTGTCTGCAAATAACTGTAATATGTTGTCATTTTCATCCAGACATTTGACTGAATATGCTTTTTCATATAATGAGACAATATAGTCATCCTTGTCAGTAGAATCGGAGCGATACAGCACCATTGCATCCCTCTCCATTAACGCTACATGTTCGTAGCCATCAACCAGCGGTAGGCAGGTGTTTCAAAGTGTCTGGCTGAATGATGCAGTACCGAGGGACAGTGTTGTGATTAGCTGGTCGATGTGACGGACCGGGCATTCTGCCGGTCTGACCCATAATGAGTGCGAAATGTGATTGAGGAGAACGAACACCATACCCCACCATGAACTGCTCTAATTGGACAACGATCACTCAGGAGAGCACCACTGCTGGAGCACGATATGTGCTGCCACCTGGAGAAACACCAAATTGGCACTGCGGTGCCACCTCTGAGAGCAGTCATCGCCTGATGTGGCCTGGATCTGCAACCTAAAAAGCACCGCTGTGCCCCCTTGCATGGGAGAGCCACAAGCGCCATGGAGCACGACACATGGAAAACTGAAGATCAGCAGTGTGAATTATGAAGTTCACTCACTTAAACCTGCTTAGCGATTCCATTTCTGCCTGAGTTCGGAATGAAAAGGAGCTGACATGAAACATGACACACAAGCAGCACATTGCTACATGTTTTTGAGCATTCACGAGAGTGTGCATGCTAACATGCGGTGAACAGCATACAAACATATCGGTCAAAGCACTTACCCCCACACTGCTGGTCCTTCTCATAGCTAGATGCCGGGAGAATGACTGTGAAGAGAAAGAGATGTATAGTTAGTGGCTGTTCACACAGGATAAGCTCTTGCAAGGGTCTTTCTGAACGTCTTGTACTGATGCCAAACATCTTTCAACTTGACACAGCATCTTAAAAACACAACAATCATGGTTCGAGATGCATCAGAACAGTCACAGACATTCATCTAGAGCAGTGGCTGTCAAGAAGTTTTGCTTCAAAATCTAAATTCCTGTAGCTCAAGCAGTAGAGCATGGCAGCAGCAACACCAGTGTCATGGGGTTGCTTTCCAGGGAACGCATGAACATATTCCCTGAATGCAATGCAAGTCTCTTTGGATAAAATTGTCAAAATTGTTGAACTGTCAAATGCATAAATGCATGTAAATATACATTTTACTTTAAACATGAAGTGTTGACTAAAAATAATACCAGATTTTTTTTTTAAATATAAAAGTATAGAACAATTGTATCAATATTACATGACCTGCATAGGCCCAACAATTTGCAAAATTATTCATATCTTTATAAAATAGATGTGCAGCCTTGATGTCAACATCAAAAGACATGAAACATCCTTTTAAAAGCTAATAGGCTTACTTATTTTATATTATGCATAATTACATGCTTTTTTTGTATTTTCTGTTGCTCAATTTTGGGAGGTGACCAACAATATAACCATAAACCAACAATTTAAAAATGAAGCAGGCTGATGCTAGAAAAAGTCCTGTGAACAGGTCATTACATGCTCCCTTGTTTTGCCTCCCTTTGCTGAATTACAGCCAAAACATCAATCACTCCCCATCTTATCCCACTCTACTCTCTCCTTTCAAAGGCAAACTTCCTGGAAGTGGGGCGATGGTGGTGGTGAGGAAGTCTCCTGTTTTATACCTGAGGGATGAGCAGGGTGATAAAGTACAGAAAATCACATCAAAGCCTGTCAGCTGGGTCTCATGAAAGTGATGAAATTATTACTTCCATTACATATTAAAATATTGCATGTATTTGAGAATGAACAGTTAATGTCAGTAAAAATAGTTGCGAGCTATTTTGCTAAATAAAACTTGAAACACTTATTCAGAGTAAATATTCCATTTTGGTTGAAGTAATGAGCTGCATTTCGATGGAAATGGCATTTTTTACTGCTGCGATAGTCTAAGATTCTCTATTACCACCCAGAGTCATGCTTTTCAAGCTCTATCTGAAATCTCCACAAAGAGCAGAGATGGGTATGGGGGGAGATGTTTTGATTGAGATGCACAATTCTCCTTGATCTCCTCACCATCTAAGACACCTCAGGATTTAGAACCCGTTTTCAAAAATTGGAGAGAGATGGGATGTGAGGCTGCCTTGTGGCATAACATTAATATTAATTAGAGTGCCTGATTCACTTGGTATTCCGCTCTGACAACTCGTGTTCTCGCAGGCTGGGTGCGTTCAGTTCTTCACTTTGAACACTTCCACTCCACCAGCCAGAGTAATGAATAAGCGCATGTAAACATATTACATCTAATCTATTAAAAACAACAGCGAGGTTGACAGGGTTTAAAAGTGTGTGTTTATTTAATAAGAGTAACATTGCAATTGGGAAAAGCTTTGCTTCATAATGGAACAGTTGGATGCCGTGTGAATATATGCGTGTGTGTTTATATATAGCTCTCTCTCACCTGGGATCTCATTGCAGTCTCGTTGCTGAGAGCCGTTTCCCACACATGGTGTGGATTGAGCCCCGCACACTCGACTGCGCAGCTGCAGGCCCGAGTCATCGCACTCAGACCACAACGACCAGGCCATCCACCCACCTGCACAAAGACACAGGCATAAACACAGGATTTAAATAAACAGTTCACCCCAAAATGAACATTCTGTCATTCCTAAACCTGTGACTTTCCTCTGTCAAGCACCAAAATTAGATATAATAAAACAGCATTTAAAGTTTAATAGTGCTTCAAATGACTTGCACTAAATTCTAAGTCAAGGTTTCCATAACAGGGGTTTGTTGATGAAAAGCTACAAAAATAAAATTAAATGGAAAATTAAAATAGATAAATAGGGCTGCACAAATAATCGGAAATAAACAGCAATTGCGATATAGCTTTGAGCAATTATCAAATCAAAGGCTGCAATTTAAATAATCATCAAATATAATGTAATAATATAATTAGAAAATGTTGCTTCTCACAAACTCCATCTTTGCATGTGATGGGAGTTAAATGTGCATGTGAGAATGCAATGTGTCCTAGGTTCTCTTTATTTATATTTGCATAATTTCCAAAATGTTTGTGGACAGACGTTTACAGCATTTCAGCAGTATTCCATCAAATAAAAGCTCAAGGATTTTAAATTTTATAAGCTTGAGGGTTTGAATGTGTAGAAGTGAAGAACTTAAGACATTAACATAAGTAATGTAACTTGTAGTGTAAAATAAAATTGTTATAATTACAATTATAATATAATAATTATGATTTACTTTGCAGTAATTGTAATTTACAATAGTAATATTTATAGAGTTAAAACGAATATAATAAAACTAAAAAACTAGTTAAAACTAATATTAATAATTTAATTATCAGAGAACCATAAATATGCAACTGTATTGTTAAATTATTTAAATATTAACTTAAGTCCACATTTATAGTAATTGCATAAGAGAAATCAGTAGATTATTTAAAATTGCACCTTTTGTTGGTGCAAAGAAGAATGAAATTCACAGAGGTTTGGAACAACTTAACAGTGAGTATATGACGAGAATTTTTTTGGGGTGAACTCTCCCTTTAAAGGGGACATCGGATGCCCATTTTCCAGAAGTTGACATGATTCTTTAGGGTCTTCATGAAATGTCTAACATACTTTGGTTAAAATTCCTCAATGGTCATGTAAAACAACACCCTTTTTACCTTGTCAAAACCAGCTCCGTTCACAGTGACACGTTTCAGTGCATGCCTCTTTAAATGATAATGAGCTACTGCTAACGCCAGCCCTCGCTTCAATGGGGCGTGACGACAAAAGACATGTGAATTGCTGCCTTGGACTCTGTATATGGCTCGGAGGTGGTCTTATTCAAATAGCTAACTATTGACGTAGAAACCGGCTACAGATTGAAACAGCTTACTGGATGACAGTTTCAGACTCAGAGAGCACATAACAAACTGGTTGGGTGCTTTCTTTTCAACTTTTCTGAGCTGGCAGACATGCCAGAAACCTAACTAAATGGAAAAAAAAAAAAAAAAGTGAAAATTTTATCCGGTGTCCCCTTTAAATGGAGCGCTCCAATTTTGGCCATCCTCACAGTTCAGATGTCAATCTAACCCGAGTGCTGCCGACTCAACGGCCCACCCACGCACATGAAACAAACACAGCAAGAGTCACACGAGGAGGCAAAAATATTCACAGTCTTAGGCAACACTTTCAGAGCAAGTGTACCAAAAACTTTACTTAGAAGAAACTTTGATTTAGAATGTATTTGTTTGCTGGGAAAATCCAATCTGTAAACAGACACATTCCTTTCATGTTTCAGCTTTTCAGATGCTTGTCTAGACCAGTGTTTCCCAACCTTTTTTTAGTCGCGGCACCCTTTGGAATTTTTAACAAACTTGTGGCACCCTACAAAATAAATTTTGTCACAATATTTGAATTCCCTGCTCTCGACAGACGCACCCCGGTTGGGAAACACTGGTCTAGACCATACGCAGTCTTATAACTCTCCCAGAACCTAACAAATTTGTCATTCATGAAGGGGGACAACAGGGGCCAAATGTTTGAATCAAGGATCCAAAAGACTTTATTATCAGTAGCAACTAGTGCCAGAGAATATCGTAGCATTTCAGAAAATGCAGATCCACTGTTAATGATGAAAGGCAGCCTCGATAACTGCTACATCAATCTTCATTTCTTTTTCTTAAGCAAACAATATGTCATGAAGAATATGTAACTCTGGACCACAAAACCAGTCATAATTTTTTGAAATTGAGATTTATACACCATATCAAAGCTGAATAAATAAGCTTTCCATTGATGTATGGTTTGTTAGGATAGGACTATATTTGGCCGAGATACAACTATTTGAAAATCTGGAATCTGAGGGTGCAAAAAAATCAAAATATTGAGGAAATCGCCTTTAAAGTTGTCCAAATGAAGTCTTAGCAATGCATATTACTAATCAAAAATTAAGTTTTTATATTTACAGTAGGAAATTTACAAAATATCTTTACGTAACATGATCTTTACTTAATGTCCTAATGATTTTTGGCATAAAAGAAAAATCAATAATTTTGTCCCATACAATGTATTTTTGGCTATTGCTACAAATATACCCCAGAGACTTAAGACTGGTTTTGTGGTCCAGGGTCACATATTTAAGGCAGAATCCAAACTGTAATGGAACCTTGTAAATGACAGATATGGGGTGTTTTACATTCTGAATTTGCTCTTAATATTTTTAAAGGAATTTTATTTGATTTGATCGATAATTAAACACAGGACCATCAACATCATGGATTTGAGGTGTTAATCAGAGAGCCAAAAGGTAGTATTAGTATAAGCTATAGGGCTTTACATGATCCATTCTTCATAAATATTTCCGTTTTGTCTTAAAGGGACAGCTGATTTTTAAAGTGATGGCAGCAGAATGTGACAAGAAAGCTTTGCACTGCCACAGTCTGCTTGCACACAGCACACTTCTATAAGCATACAGCTCACATATGGTACCATCTGTAGCCTGGAGGACCCCAGAAGCCACTCAGAATCTGAAGAATGTGCTTCTGGTGATTGAAAGGTCTGAAATCATTCCTTCAATGCAATGATAATCAGTCAGTCATAAACTATCCTGTTAAAAGACCAGCATACGTTGTGTTGTGGATGATGGTGTGCTCACAAGGCTTCTAAAAGGCATAGTTCACCTGAAAAATTTTAATTCGGTAATCATTTATGAACTCACTATCACTGACTTTCTCCTGCAGAACACAAAAGAAAATGTTTCACTTATGGTGACAAATGCTGAGACTTTTAAAAATATCTGTTCCATACGGTCATGCAGATTTAGCGTGACACAAGGGAGTAATTGATGATAGAATTGTCATTGAGTGAACTATCCATTTAACTAGCTTAACAGCACAATTTCCTCAGTTGACCAGTTTCAATAAAAAAATGTAAGTTTCAATAAAAAGTCTCAATTACATTTTATTAAAGGGTTAGTTCACCCAAAAATGAAAATTCTCTCATTAATTACTGACCCTCGTGTTGTTTCAAACCCCTAAGACCTTCGTTCATCTTCGGAACACAATTTAAGATATTTTTGATGAAATCTGAGGGCTCTCTGACCCTCCCATAGACAGCAAGGTCATCACGCCGGATCTGGGTCAGCGCCGGCGCCGCCACACGCTCGCATCATGGTACTGTCGTGAACGCGCATCCAAAGTGACGCAGTAGAGACGAAAATGTGGAATAAAGTCGTTATTTTTGTTTTCTTTGCGCAAAAAAGTATTCTCGTAGCTTCGTAACTTTACAGTTGAACCACTGATGTCACACGGACTACTTTGTCGATCATCTTGGTACTTTTCTGGACCTTGAACGTGGTAGTTACCTTGCTGTCTATGGGAGGGTCAGAGAGCCCTCATATTTCATCAAAAATATCCTAAAATGTGTTCCGAAGATAAACGAAGGTCTTATGGGTTTCGAACAACACAAGGGTGAGTAATTAATGACAGAATTTTCATTTTTGGGTGAACTAACCCTTTAAAATAAATATATAAATAAATAAAGGTCATTGCAACTTTTTATCTCACAATTCTTTTCCTTGCCATTCTAAGTTTTTATCTTACAATTCAGACGTTTTGAGAAAATTCTGAGAAAATAATTGAGATATAAACAATGAGAAGTCAGAATTGTGAGATATAAACTCACAGTTGCAAGAAAAAATTCATAACTACCTTTTAATTAAACAAAAAAATGTAACCGAAAAACGCTGTTAAACAATAACAACAACAAAACAGAATCGCAAGATGTAAACTCACAATTATGAGCTTATTGCAAGATATAAACTCAATTGTGAGAACAAGTCAGAATTGTAAGACACAGACTTGCAATTGTGAGAAAAAAAAAAGAATTTAAAGGGTAAAAAAATTTACCTTTTTATATATTTTTATTCCATAGTGGAAACAAGCTTCTACAGAAACTGCTTGTTTCTGAAAGGTGATAATAATGGGTGTTGATGAACAGATGACACATTGAAAACCAACTGTATCTTGTGCTTACAGACAGAGGTAGAGCTCAATTTGGAGAGCCTTGAGTTTTTTGTAGCACATTTCACTTAAAGCATCGTTTCATCCCATTCGTGGATCTGGATTGGAACTGATCTTACCATCACAGGTGTGCGTGTTGCAAAGAGCCTCCTCTGTGTGCAAGCCGATGCAGATGTCCCCTCCATTGCCAGGGATGGGGTTGGTGCATGTGCGTGTTCGTTGGTAGTGCCCACCTCCACAGGGCACTGAGCACTGCGACCATGATGACCAGCAAGACCAGGCACCATTAACTGCACAGACCAAACACGTACAAACAAATACGACATACAAAAACAAACACAAAACAATCAGGCAAGGAGGGGGACACAATCATCCAAGCATCAGATAAGCAGACACAAATGCAGCCCAACAAAAAAGACGGAGCGGAGGATGCAAACACAATGTACCGAACACAAACATAAAACAGCATCAATCAAACAGGCAAACACAAAACAATCCAAAAAAAAACCGGACATGATTGGAAATTCCCACAAGGCGGACAAGGCAAGCAGACATCTGTTATGAGATGTGATGGTGATCCAGACATTCGGAGTTCAGGACAGAATGTCGCATTTGGAGTTTCAAACAGCTTTATTTGACCCACAAAGCTCCTGAACGAACACTCGAGACTTGCCAGCTGTTCACCTCCATTTCTTTGTTTATCCCGCTGGAAAATCCAGATTAAGCTGGTGACTGATATCTAGCTGTTCCAAGCTGGTCACCATGTTCCAAAAACCAGCTTGACTACCTAAAGCTGGTATAACCAACTTGTTTGTAGATGATCTACCAGCTAGAAACCAGCTATCATGTTTCAAATCACAGCTACCACCTTAAACTGACCAGGATAGAAGCATTGCTGTTGTGCAGTTTCCTCTCACTTTAACAGGCCCTGCCACCATCCTCTTGACGTCTCATCAGACCGATGGAGGAGAAGGTTAGGGGTGTCTACTTCTCTCTGCACTAGAAAGCACTGTTTAACTTCAGTGGATTAGCATGTGTGTACTGGGGCACGACTGAAGTGTGAAGGCAGACTGATCGCAATCACAGTTAGTCCAGCAACCTCTCACACCGAGGGAGAAGCTGGGCGTTGGATTGGAGTGCACATCTGAGGTCAAAACAATGATTAAAATGGTTGGCTGATGTCAGTAATGTGTTTGAATCCATGTGCCCTACCCCCTTCCGCTTTGTTATTTCAATCCTATTTTCCCTTTCTGCCTGATTGTAAAACAGCACAGCAAATACTGTGGCTGTTCATTTGTCACACTCAGAGAGTGTTTAGAGTAGACAATGCATTGGCAAGTGGCTGTCAATATGTCTAAAGAAAGACACAAAACCATCTGCTGGGAACTTCCAGGGTGATTGGTCAGATAATTTGCAGTGTGATCCTTTAAAGGTGAAGTATTAGCACTTTCAAAACAAGGCCCTGTTTGTTTGAGCCAAAGAGGACTGTTAAACCTGGAGAAAAAATTATTTTAGCACCTTTAAACTGTCTATTAGCATGCCCAAATTGTCTGTTAGCAGCCTTAACTGTATGTTAGCACCCTTAACTCTGTTAGCATCCTTAAACTGTCTGTTAGCATCCTGAAACTCTGTTAACATCCCCAAACTGTCTGTTAGCATCCTTAAACTGTCTGTTAGCATCCTGAAACTCTGTTAACATCCCCAAACTGTCTGTTAGCATCCTTAAACTGTCTGTTAGCATCCTGAAACTCTGTTAACATCCCCAAACTGTCTGTTAGCATCCTTAAACTGTCAGTTAGCATCCCCAAACACCCTATCAATCACATTCTATAGCGATGTGCTAAAAATTGCAACCAAATAGCAACTCCCTGTTCACCTACAGAAAATAAGCAACTCAGTGGCAGGCAAATTTGTTGTTGTGTTTTTTTATTATTAAATATAAGAATTTTAGCAATTCGGTTTGATGCAATTTCATTGCACACTTCACCTTCTGGTGTTAACTGGAAATTTCATTTGATCTTGTGATTTCTAAATCAGAAAAGAGTATTTGATTTATCCTTGAGTTCATGTCTGTTTGGAATTATGGTGAAACCTCTTAATTTGACCACAGCAGGTCCCTATGGGGCTTCAGAATTCCATTAGCTAATGAAATCAGTAATATACTTCACACACTCTAATGGAAGCAGAGGCTTTTGCATGATAAGCAACTACCTTGATTATGAGCATATGTGGGAGTCTATTCATGTGCACATATGTAAATGTGCGTGTGGAGTGTGCTTGTGTTTACACGCATGTTTCTGAGGGTGTGTGTTACCTTGACAGGGCTGAGGATTGCAGTCCTGATATTCTACTGGAGAGCCCCGGCAGGCAGTGGGAACGCTTTTGCCCTCTGCACTGGTGCAGGTGCGTTTGCGAGTGCGGTAGCCTTTGGCACAGTCCTGAGTGCAAGCTGACCACATGTCCCACGATGACCAGCCAGAGCCTGTCAGTCGCACACCAGGCATCTTGAGAAGCTCCTCAACTAGTGCTGTAAAACATATATTGCATGTTACAAGTTTGCCAGTTATTGTCAGTACTTTTCTTTTATCGTTGAATTATTATTATTATTATTATCACAGCCTACTGACACGGTTTTGATGATCCAGAATCCACCTAATGTAGTTATTATTAAATAATAATTAGTTATCTTTACAGCTGTTTGTTCTAGGTGTGAACAGCCATTTAGTCGTTTTATGTAAAGAGTGCTGCAGGGATGATGTATTTTTGTTGGTCAAAACCAGGAAGAGTGTTAGTATATCAGCACATCCGGGCCCATCGTCCATAAGTCAATAAATGGGCTCTGGGTTAAATGCCTGAAACAAGGTCTGTGATTAACACAAGCTCAAGATATTTTCATATTTATCCTACAATGAAATACACCAGTAATACCCTCTTGTGATATTTTTAAAGCTTTTACTAGTCTAGAAAAAGATGTTTGCTAACAAGTGGCTAAATGGGACGACAGAAGTTGTTGGGAACATTAAATGTCATCACGGTGAACCAGAAATTATTCAACTCACTAGTCCATTTTTACAGCCTCGTGTTTATAACTGCATAGTTTTTGGAAGCTTAATGGGCATGACGTTAAAGTCAAGAGACCATGCTATAGTTTGTTTATTGCTTACGTTTAGCTTTTTACTTCTGGCGATTGTATTTAGGCTTCAAAACTCATAAAAGTTGTGTTCATTCGTAAAGATTATCGTGATGAACAAAATGTGTAAGAATCATAGACTTTTGTTGGTCACAGACCTTAATTTTTGCAATATTTCAAAAGTCCAATGGAAAAATCCCATTGTTTCCGGTTTCCGGTTTGGCCTACTAAAATACGTCATCACTGCAGCACTCTCTGAGTGTGTTATTTTAAGGAGTGGCCTTTTCCTGTGTAATTCAAGGTTACTAAAAAAAACTACCAATGTCATGCTGTGTTTTACAGCATCTCTGACAAAAAAACATCCTGGTCACAGCAACCTGCACAAGGTGAATTCTGACACTCCCTTGTCTCTAATGCATTCCATGTGCACCTCAAGTGGTTGACCTCCCCCGAGTTCAGACAGGAAGATACTGTTAATCAATGTGGCGCCCAACATGCGCAAAGTGGGCAAGGGCTGAACTGTGACCCTGAACTGTCATCGAGCCAGCAGTATCGGCTAGCTCAGTCAGATCTGTTCATTTAGGTGTGGGTGTGCATTAGGAAAAAGGATCTATACACTCACAGTCTGTTTCACAGGTTACCGTCCCATCATTGGGGCAGAAGCGTGTCTCAACTTTACGCTTGCCCAGTTGAAGCTCATGAGGGTCAGCCAGTTGGGCCCGGCAGATGTAGCGAACTCTTTGCTCTTGCCGTGACCCTCCCTGGGTTATATTCACCGGCACCCAAGGGGTCCATGGGGTGTTTCGACGCACCTCTGGACAGGACTCCAGATTACATGCCTGGTACTCCTGCAATGAGGAAGATTGACAGAGAGGACATCATCCAGTTGCTTATTCCTCATGCACAGGCGACATTACATCACCTCTTAAGATGCACGTGAAGCTCATTCTTGTGCCATCACTGTGAACAGTTAATAAAATTTAATGGCTCCTTGCTAGACACCCAAGGGGGTGTTATAGTTCTTTGCAAGGAACGTTAATTTGAGTCCTAATTAAGTCGATTAAATTTGAATTAATTGCAGCTCTTAAGAGAATTGGAGAGCAAAGAAATCTGTCCGATTTAAAATGTAAGAGCAAAAGAGCATTTTAGAGAGCATTTTAGGAAACTGAATGCTATTTTGATTTGTCCTGATATTTTGTTGTATAGAAAGATGCATTACAGCATATAATGTATGAAAGATATAAACAAATATAACAAACAAATTTTATAGACCCATGGATTTTTCTACAAGTATGCATGCTTTTGGACAGAGATGTACAATGGATTTTGTGTAATGGATTCTCGCCATGCTAAGAATACCAATTACTGAACTGAACTGCACGATGCTATAACATGTTTTGTTGTTAACATAAAATAAGTCATAAAATCATTTAAAGTGTATAACACTTTCCTGGACATTCACTCCAATGAATATTTCACCGAGGTTTATTTTTAGTCTCTTCATAGGCATGTTTTATTTCATTTTCATTTTGAAGGTGATGAATGTAAATAACTACAAGGCCATTGGCAGGCTGTGTAGACGATCAGCTTAATGTAAGTGACAGTCTCAGAACTGCATAAATCTTCAAAATGAAACGGTGTGTTGTGTATTTGATTTGTCTAGTCCACTCAGTCTCTCCTGAATCACAAATGAGCTCCATTTTTACAGTACATCACACATATCTTTCTGGGAGAGGAGCTGCTTGGTTATCACGGTCGTGCAGGAGGCTTCAAGGCTAAAGCGTGTGTGTACTTAAGGTGTACGTACCAGCGCACATCCTGGACAGCTATTTCCATTCTCACAGTTCCTGGAGCGAGAGTGCACCCCTCCCCCACACTCTGAGCTGCACTTGGACCAGGGCGACCATGATGACCAAAAGATGGGCTGAGGGCACGATACCTTCTCATTGCAGAATCTGGTGAGCATAAAAAATGTGTTTTACTCATATCATGAGTTTAAGTCAGGCCTGCTCTGAGTTGATAAAACTCAAGAGAAATGTATAAAGGGGTCATATTATAAGAAAAATTGCCACAGGTTTGACAACATTGCATTTGGTTATGAGATACTTGTGAACCTGGCATTTGTTGTTACTGACGTCCAACCTACACTATAGGCATCACATCTGACAGCTTCAGTTGAGCGGAAGATTATTGGATTATAATGATTTTAAATTTAACTTGCACTTAAAATGCACTTACACCAGTGTTATTTTAGTATCATGTTTCAGGTCTTGATTTTTACATTTATATGTGCAAGAAAAATAAAAAAAAAACTCTTTTCTTACCTCTGTTCTCTGCTTTGCCCCACACACACTCGGCCGCCATGCCTGGGCGAAGGATTGTTACAGGATCGCTGGCGGACTTCAAACCCAATCTCACAGCTTGTGCTGCACTGGCCCCAGGACAACCAGGGTGTCCAACCTCCATTCCTGCAGAAAAAAGAAAGAAAGAAAAAACAGAGAGCATCAGTGAACCTTGGCAAGAAGTGATGGGTACAAGCCCATTTTCTCATTTGGGATATAGAAATACTTTCTTTTTTTTTTTCCGGCAATGCTGCCAGGCTAATGTGACGTGATGGAAGAGAAAGAGGACAGGTTTGGTAAGGAATTTTGATCGGGAAACGTTCTCAATTTGCTAAAGTGCTCGGTTCCTGCAACGAATCTTGCGTGATGAGAGAACCGCCACTTCTGTTAAAAACACAATTCAGTTTTAGCACCTTAGATGCAGGATGGCGGGCAGACGAAAAAAAAAAAAACAGATCGTAGAAATGCAATAACTGAAATTTAATTATTTGGCTTAACTATTCCTTTAAGGAAAAACTTTTTACTTGCCTTGAACAGTTGGACACCTCAATGGTCGGCCCCTCGCAGTTTTTACCTCCGCAGCGAGGTGGAGGACTATCGCATGCCCGCGATCTGCAGAGACATGTGCTGGTGCCCTCGCCGTCATTGTGGCTGCAGGGTTGCCATGGAGCCCAGGGTCCGTACGCACCATCTGTGGTTTGGTTCCTCAGCTGGAATAAATGAAAAAAACGTGTGAATTTGAAGGTTGGTTGCATGCAAAATCTCAGTCCTAAAAAATAATGACCACAAAGCAGCTGCCTCAAGTGATGTTATCAATCATGTGGCATAGCACCTTTCACGCAACACAGATTTCAAAGCTGCAGAGGGAGACTGTCAGAGCACTATGGAGACGACAGACACGTGTCGAAACATCAGTCATGCATGAGGCAGTGAGTGAGGCAGACTCTTTAAACGACTGGTCCTTACCGGGCAGGCAGTGATGTTCTGGAACCACTGGCTCATGTTGGAGCTGTCCTCTATGGTGGTGCAACGGCGCTGCTTTCGGTCCCAACCACAGTAAGGGTCCCTTGCATCCAAACACATCCTAAAATAGAAATAGAAAGAGTCAGGAAAAAGAGAAAGGGACAGAGACAGAAAAAACATGGACTTAGTGCATGAATAGTATTATAGTCAACATTAAATTAGAATTAACCTAATTTATTTTTAAAAGCATGTTCCTGGTCTTACTGTACAATTAATTCCAAAGACATAAAATTATTTTTTTATATTTAATCAAACTGTAAAAACAAATTCTTTTTTTTTAACAAATTAATACTTTTATTCTGAAAGGATGTATTAAATTAATCAAAAGTGACCGTAAAGACATTTCTAATGTTAAAAAGATTTCTATTTCAAATAAATGCTGTGTTTTAATTATTTATCAAAGAATCCTGAAGAAAATGCATCACAGTTTCAGTTGGTATCAGTCACCAACTGAAATAGCATCACAAAAAAATATTAAGCAGCATAACTGTTCAAAATTGATAATAATAAGAAGAAATGTTTCCTAAACTAAATCAGCATATTAGAATGATTTTGAAGGATCATGTGACACTGAAGACCGGAATAATGAAAATTAATCTTTGCCATGACAAGAAAAAATTACATTTTAAAATCCATTAAAACAGAAAACACACACGTACACACACACACACACACACACACACACACACACACGTCATAAAAATTAAATAATTAGCATATAATTTAAATCTAAATTAAATTTTATATAAAATAGTATAACATTTATTGATTAATTTATTTGTTATATTGTTATTATATAAATAACTATCATATATATATATATATATATATATATATATATATATATATAGAGAGACAGAGCGATTTGAATGAGGCATAAAACAGATATAAAGTGACATGTTTTCTTTCTGCATTCCTTGCCAGGCAGCTTTATTGCTCTGTAGATGGGCTTTATGTCAAAATCTGCACCCTGCTGAGAATGAATTCTGTAAAGAGCTGCTTTGTAGAATATATATATATATATATATATATATATATATATATATATGTAAAGAGAAAAGTTTTGATTTACATACATACATACACACTCTTAAATAGGGAGTGAAAGAAAAATGGCAATTCACAATGACTTTTAAACTGAAGAGACATCCAACATCTGCTTCCCTTGCCCAACATCGTAGATTAAAAAGCTTGCACAGTAACTGACAGCAGCTCTAGGCGCTACAGTTCCCTAATACAAATCTAAACCACGCCCGGGAGTATTTCACATCCTTTCTACAAAACCCTTGCTACGCAACACCTCGAAATTGATTAAATATTAGTAAGCTGCTAAAAAAGAGGTCTAATGAGGTGTAATTAAATCTAAACCCACTAATGAAGTTAAGCCATGAGTGCCATTTCAAGGGCTCCGGAATTTGGGGCGGTGTGTTAGTAAAACACCAGCAGCCTTCACAACCTTCCCTTTAGCTTGAAAGGCTTGTTTTTGGCACGAGTGTATCAGTTTGTTTGCGCTGGTCCTCTGGCGTTCCAGCCTCAAGGTTGAGGAAACACACAGAGTGTTGATACAGTGCAGAGTGCCAAGACTGAATCCTGCCGAGAAGGGAGCTCGAACTGGGTCGAGTGCTAAAACACTCCAACGCTTCAACTCTGTCAGGAACATCAAGGAAAAAAGGAAAACAACAATTGGCCTTTTAACAATTTCATTTACACAGATTCTGGACGATCCTCTCATTAATGCCAAAATGTCTGTCTGTCTGTCTATCTATCCATCCAAATATTACAACATTTACGTCTTTACATTTTACATATATTACTTTATAATTAAGTAAACAAGCATTTTCAATTAATTGTGGGATTGACAGTAGAGTGGAACAAGCTGTGAGAGCATCAAAACATTTAGAAATACTCAACTTTATGCAAAACTGCTTAAGTCATCTGGATTCAGTCATAAGTCTTTTTCAGAAACAGGTGCACGCAGAGTGAATTCTGCATCCTGTCAATATGAGTTTACAAATATGCACCAATTGCATCAGACGTGAGGTGTATGACACAGGCCTGATTATCATCTTGTTAGTTTCTGAACATAACAGCAACTATAATGAAACAGGAATAAAGTAAACAACAGTAAATTAGTTGGAGCACCCATAGCATTATATAGTTTTGAAGACACAATTGAAGACATAAATGACTCTGGCCAATTAAAAGAATTTGAGGATGGAGAGAATAATGATATATTCCTTGCGCACATCTAAGGCCCAATTACCCCCCATTACAGAGGGCAGAAACACAAGCCCTCAGGGCGCTGACCTGCGAGAACTACCCATTTAAACAAAAACTTTTGCAGTGATTTCATTAATTACATTGGAAAGATCCACTCCCGCAAACCAAAGTGAAAGCCAGCCGTCCATGTAATCTCTTAAGACTATGAAAATGTGCTGACGTGGAAGGAATGCTGATTTGACATTCCGGTTGGCATACAGCAGTAGCCTGTTTTACTGATGAGCTCAGGAGACATGAACACTGCCAGGACTCGGCTGCTCTCAGGACTGTGCCAGCTGACCTAGTGAGGAAAAAACTCAATTAATGGCCTCCTGAAGGTGTCCCCCCCCCCCCCCCCG